CCAGCTCTTGCTTCCATGAACAATATTATACATTTATACTCAATAAATGGGAAAATAAAGTGAAAAGAGAAAATAGACCAAACTGGAGGAAATATTTTGTTTTTTTGCAAAAGAAAAAAAAAAAACCACAAATAGCTCTAGTGGTTAAAATGAGACTCTCTTAGAATAGAGCGTACGTATCAACTTCAACTTCGAGCTCCATAGTATATCCGATCCGTGAAGATGTATGTATAAACCGTCGTTGATTGAAAAAAAATATGTATAGAAGAATGAATAAAGACGAACGAGTGAAAAAGAGAATGGAAAAGCAGGGAAAGAATTTGTCAATCAACTTGGAAATCAAGGAAAGGGAAAGAAGAATTGTTATCAATGAGACCATCCAAATCCCAATCACCGATTTTAGGGTTTTCTATTTCCCAAGAACCATTCTCCATGCCCAACACATTCCCTACTTTGAAGCTTTCTGAATGACAAAGATTTTTGCTATTGAAGCAAGGATCAAGGGCTTCTAAGTTTAGGTTGTTGCTTGTAGTACAAGCAATGGCATTGCTATTCTCCGAGGGTGGAAGATTAAACCATTCACCTTCTACTGATACTCTCTTGCTAATTGGATCAAGAATTGTATTGCTATAATCTTCTAAGCCATTAACGTTGAAAACATTCCCTGTGTTTCCCATTTGGTGATATCGGTTATGATCCGGTACTGATATCAATGGATCAAGCTGGTTTAAGCCCACACTACTAACCAAGGGTGCAAAATTGAACGAAGAAGAGTCCATGTGCGTGGTGTTCTCCACTATCATCATGTCATCATGGTGATGATGATGATAGCCATCCATCATTGGATTTGACTTGCCTCCCATGTCCACATGTTGATCTCTTGGGTCCAAAGAATTACTAGTACTATTGTTAGGTGACGATCCTGAAGAAGTATTGTTGTTGTTGCTACTATTGTTCTTAAGCCTTTTCTTCAATGTAGAGTTCCAAAAGTTCTTGATCTCATTGTCTGTCCTCCCTGGAAGCCTAGTAGCTATCTGAGACCACCTGACACAATGTTATAAGATAAAGATGATTATGATCTAGAGTACGTTCCAAGTATGTATTTGTATTTACAAGTGAAGTTTTTTTACCTGTTACCAAGAATGGAATGCAAATGGAAGATGAGATCTTCTTCTTGAGGAGAGAAAGAACCGCGTTTAAGATCAGGCCTCAAGTAATTGATCCAACGAAGGCGACAACTTTTGCCACAGCGTAAGAGACCAGCATTTCTAGCAATGTCACTCCAACATCCTTGTCCATTAGTCAACATGTATCTTATGAGTTTCTCATCTTCATCAGGAGACCAAAGTCCTTTTCTTAGCTTCGGTTTGTTGTTATTACCACCACATGCAAGATTTGGCTTGTTCTTGTCTCTGATTGTAGTATTGTCCAGTTTCCTCATCATCATTTGGATTGGTGGAGCCTTTTTGAAGAAGACTATACAGAGAGAGAGATTTGTAATTTTGGAGAGGTTGTAAGAAGGAAGGAAGAATGGAGAAGATGATATGATTTGTGGGGATTGCTTTGGAATGATATGAATATGCGTAATGGATATGAAAA